GCCCCCAGGGCGCCACCACGGGGCAGCGAGGGGCCGCGCGCGGCTCCCCAGGGCGCCGCGACGAGGCAGCGGGGGGGTCGCGCACGGCTCCAGGGGCGGCGCGCGGGTCCCCGGGAGCGACGCGAGGGTCGACGGGGGCGGCGCGCGGGTCCCCTGAGGCGACGCGAGGGTCGACGGGGGCGGCGCGCGGGTCCCCTGAGGCGACGCGAGGGTCGACGGGGTGCGGGGCGCAGGTCCAGCGGGGCCGGCGCGCCACGAAGAAAAGGGGCCGCGCGCCTCGGGGCGCGCGCCAGAGAGGAAATCGCCGCGCGCCACGTCGCACGCCACGGGGCGTGCGATAGAACAAGTAGCAGCGGAAGCAGGTTGGTGGGCCAACAGGCCAAGGAGGGACAGACTCTGATAGCATGTCGTAAGGTAAGGAAAAGTTTAGCAGCATAAAGGAGAGCGTTGCACTAGCAAGCAGTTGAGTACATATAGCAAACCCTAAGTTGGGCTGTACTCGCTATAGAGTACCCCACTGCAGGCTAGACAAATACTGCATTCTGACAAGTTAGAATCTTCGTAGACGGGGGAGCCAGCCACAGCCTCATCAACACTACCACAGCACGGAAACTGAAACTACCACTGGACAGGTGTTTACCTAAGATCAACGCAAGACTGGTTGACGGCACGCCACTGGCGATACGGGAAGGTGTAGACCCAGTTCGGATTCGATGCGGGGTAACTTCACGTTTAGCCAGGAAATGCTCGCGACGATACTCGACGGGACCGACATTTTACTTGGCCGTGATTGGCTGTGACAACACAATCCGCGAATTGACTAGACGACGGGTGACTTCACTTTGCGAGTGAACGGTAACATCGCCACCTTAATTTGCTGGGGCTCGCCTGAGTCTTCGTCGGTGCGTGTCAACGCGATGACGATGAAATGCCGTTGTAGCGGCAGGAGCTGACGTGTATGCGGCTGACATTCAAGAAACCGAGGCAGCAGACAAAGAAGGGGATTTACAGAAACAGCTAGCTAACGTACCGGACGACTTGGCAACCCTATTGAAGCAGTACAGTGGGATCTTTCCGAACGACCTGCCAACAGGACTGCCACCTCAGCGACCGCACGGCCACATGATAGAACTACAACCGGGGGCACAGCCGACAGTAGAGCGGCAGTTCCAACTGACCCAACCCACACTGGACGAACTACGGAAGCAGTTGGATTACCTGCTCGATAAGGAGTTTATTCGCCTGGGTTCGTCACCATTCGCAGCACCCATACAATTCACGCCAAAGAAAGGTGGGGGATTTTGCATGTGCATAGATTACCGCACACTGAACCAAGTAACCATCAAGTCCAGCTACCCCATCCCGCGAGCTGACAAACTGATCGACCAACTCCACACAGCCCTAGTTTTCTCGAAAATCGACATTCGAAGAGGCTACCACCAGATCCGTGTCAACCTGCCCGACTGCCCGAAAACCGCCTTCTGAACACGCTACGGATCATTCGAATACATGGTAATGCCCTTCAGACTGACCAACGCCCCCACCACCTTCCAAATGATCATGAACGAAGCCTTCCGCCCGCTTTTAGATAAGTGTGTCATTGTGTACTTAGACGACATACTGATTTACAGCCCAGACAGAGCACAGCACCTACAGGACATCGAAGTAGTTTTTAAAATACCGAGTGAGAACCGCCTACTGACCAAAGCCTCCAAGTGTGAGTTTCTACAGGATAGACTGGAGTTTTTAGGGCACATTATTTCAGCCAACGGAGTGGAAATAGACCCGAAAAAAATTGCGATGATTCAAGCATGGCATGCGCCGACAAACTTGACCGAGTTGCAAAGTTTTCAAGGGTTCGTCAACTACGTGTGACGGTTCGTCCCCGACACGGCGAACTTGACTGCCCCGTTGACCGACCTGCTGAGGAAGGGGGTTGATTACACGTGGGGGGAGAAAGATCAAGCTGCATCGCGACCCTAAAAAATATTTTGTGCTCACCGCCCGTGCTTTGCATCGCAGATCCTCACCGTCCGTTCGAGCTCGTCACCGACTCTAGTGGTATCGCTATGGGAGCAGTACTGTTGCAGGACTTCGGGAACGGCCTTCAGCCAATTGCGTACGAGTCCCGCACGCTTTACCCGCCCGAACGCAACTACCCGATTCACGACCGCGAGATGCTGGCGATAGTGCACGTGTTCAAGGTGTGGTGGTGCTACCTGACAGGAGCCGACGTGATATTACGGACAGACCATCGTGCACTATAGTATCTCCGCACCCAACCTAACCTCAATCCGCAACAAACTCGTTGGTTGGACTATCTGGAGTCCAACTTCCACTACACCGTCACGTACAAAAAAGGAGCATCGAACATCGCCGACGCACTCACCCGCCCCACCGCCCAACTTCACGCAATCCTACTCGCCCAAACCAACCCACAGTTAACAGGCCTATTCGGCCTATTCACCCACGGATACTGCACCGACCCCTTTTTCACGAACGGAAATTCAGAGCAGCTGGCAGAAGCAAAAAGAGTCTATTATTTAAAAACAGGCACCAACCGCATTTTGGTTACCCGCGTACTCACTACTGAGGGAACCGCTACTGCAGGAGGCACACGACGGGGTTACCTCGGGTCACTTCGGGGTAAAAAAAACGCGACAGCATCTGCAGCGGTATTAGTACTCGCCGGAGTTGGTGACCGACGTACAGCACCACGTCGGGTCGTGTCCTACGTGTCAGGTGATGAAGAGCTCGCGAAAAAGAAAGGCGGGTCAGTTGCAACCGATTCCACCGCCCGAGCGCGCCTGGCAGTAGGTTACCATGGATTTTTTTCAGGGGGTTACCTTCGAATCCCGGGGGTAACGACGTGGTAATGGCCGTCGTTGACAGACTGACAAAAATGGCTCACTTCCTGCGTGCAGGAAATCGATCTCAGCCAAGGAAACCGCTCACCTGTTCATCGCAACCGTCGTTCGACTCCACGAGATACCAGCCGCGATAATTAGCGACCGCGACACGAAGTTTACCAGCAAAATTTGGAAGGACCATTGGGAGCAGTTGGGGACAAGGCTAGAGTTCAGCTCGTCGTACCACCCCGAAATCGACGGTCAAACGGAGCGGACGAATCCAACCATGGAGCAGCTGATTCGTGCCACGTGCGACGACCCAACAACATGGGAGCAGCAGCTGCCGCTGATTGATTTCGCATATAAAAACGCCACGTCAGCAACGACACAGTAGTCCCCGTGTTACCTGAACTACGGGCAAAATCCAACGGTGCCCATGACGCCGAGTCCGGGCAACCCAACGCCACGTGCACAGCAATTTGCCGAGATTCTGCAAGATGCCCGCACCAGAGCCGCTTAGCGATAAAAAACAAAACAAAACAAAACAAAACAAAACAAAAAAAACAAAACAAATGTCATCGCTAAGAGAAACATTGACCGCCACCGCCGCCCAGTCACGTACCAGTCAGGAGATTACGTACTGCTCGACAGACAGAACTTAAGACTGCCCGTGGTACCGAAACTTTGACCACGCTACTGTGGATTATTCCAAATCAGCCACATGATCACCCTAGTTACTGCCCATTTACTGTTGCCGACAGACTGGTACATCAGCCCATCATTCCACGTCAGACTGCTTCGCCCTTACATCCCAACCACAAGCCAACTGCCACGTCACCGCCCGCCATCCATGACTCACCCTGCATCGGAGCCGATCGTTGAGCCCGAGAAATTTTTGAGCCATCGGATTCGACACCCCACCGGCATCAAGAGGATCGAGTTCCTCGTTCGCTGGAAGAAGATAGCTGGGTGCTCCTAGCCAACATCGAAAACCACCCTGCCCTGCAAGTGTACATGAGGAGCCGAGGTTTCCGCGATATGCACGCACTCGCGTAGCGGAGGGGGCTTCTTGAGGGAAGGGGTAGCGTAAGGTATTTTCGCGCCATTCCTTACCGCGACCATTAACATCGCGTACAGCAGCAGCCGTTGTTCGCCCGTTACTGCTAACGGGGCTTAAGGAACTTCGCGCACCGTTTCACCAAACCCTGCACCGCTAGCCCGGCCGAGTCGGCCTACGCTTCGGGACTAGCCTGAACCTCGATGCCAGCCTAGCACTAGCTAGCCCGCACGCACTACGTAACCGTTACATGTTTTCGCACATGAGTATTCGCTCATGCCTTCGCTTATACTTGGTACTTTTGACCCACATAGTGCAATCATCGCTGCCTCTGTAAGGAATTTTCCTAATTCCTTACTGAAGCACTCTGTGCGCGTACAATCCCAACTTTCAGAGTTCAGGCTCGGTCCGATGACCTCGTCTTCCGAACGTCCCTCGCCTCGCCTTCGGGTTTCCCAACCCCAAACCTGCACCCAACCATCTCGCGACTCCGCGACCTCGGCCTAGCTAGACTTGCTATATTATGCCTAGGCCTCGTTGTTTGCTCAGTAGTTGTAATCACTTCCGCGATATTGCATTCTGCGCACTCTTTTTTCGTACAACTCATAACAACCTAGTTCCATTGCACCCGTAACAGAATTCTCCGCTAAACCCTGCTGACGACATCAACGTTATGGTAACCTGGTAAAGTGACCTGTTTTTTTAAGCTCAAGTCCAGATCAGACGCGCCGTAACAACCATCGCTATTGACCACAAGCAAGGTTCTGAAAACACGGCGTTTCTCCTTCTGAGTCTACTTACAGCTCACAAACTCATCTTATTTTCCGCCGATTCCTCCGGAGCTATCCGGCGCCATGCCCGGCCTCTCCTTCTTCCCAGCCTCCTCGGACGGGCCCCGCCCCCCCGCTGCAAGCACGGCCACATTAGGCCACGGCACTCGCGGCATCAGCATTGTCAGCGGCAGCAGCAGCAATCACAGCGGCGGCGGTGGTGGGGGGGACCGCGATGGCAGCAGCAGAAGCTTGTTTGCGGGCAGATTTAGCCAGAGGAACGCGGGGGCGACCACGGCAACGCGGAGCACAGGCGGCGCTGGAATGGCTGGGATTGGCGGGATCGGTGTGATCGGTGGCGCGGCGCCTCTTTCTGAGGCTCTCGTCTCCTCCATTCTTCCCGCATCCCTTCGCGCTCTCCCCGCGCCCGCCCTCTCGCCGCGCTGCACGGGCTGCGCGCTCGCTGCTGCTGCGCTGCTGCTCGTCGCGTCGCTCCTCCTCGCCCTCCAAACCACGCTGCTCCACCCCGTGCGTTCTACGGCACGCGCACTCTCTAACGCGTACACGCCCCTCTCACTGTGCGGCTTTTTCACAAGCTTTTTTCAATTCATTCGCCATCGCTTCAAGTTGTTGTACCAATCCCATCCCCTCCATTCCCCGCCCACCCGCCCGCTTACTCGCACACGGCTCTCCCACACCCTCTCTCCCCTCCCTTCCCTGCTGACTCGCTGCCCCATACACAGTAGGAATGCTTGAGGCTGGGACAATGCTGTGCCTAGCCTGGCGCGCACGCCCACTCTAACCCCAACGCTGCTCCCTCTCCCCCCCTCCCTATCTCTGCCGCCCGGTATGCCTAGTGCCCCCTGTGCAGGCACAGCAGCGCGACCCCGTTGACTCGTTTGACTCCCTTGACCGCAGCTCCTCGCAGCCCTCTGCCACGTGGCCATGGCGCTGGTCTCCGTGGGCAGGTGGAACTCTCCCCTCACGACCACATGCAGCAGTAGTTGAGGCAGAAGCAACAACGGAGGAGTCAGCAGGAGGAGGAGCAAGGGGAGGGCGTTTTGGGGTTGTGGAGCGGAACTGGGGAGGGGAGTATTGGGGAAGAGGATTTGGTGCTGGCAGTGGTGGCGGTGCTGCTGCTGCTGTTGCTGCTGCTGGTGGCAGGGACGAGAGCGAGATGGAAGATGGCACACCAAGGTCTTGCTCACATGCCCCCTCTCGCCCTCGCCTTGCTGCCCCCTCTCAGCCCTCCCGTCCCTTACTTCCCTCTCCCTCCCCTTTCTTTCTCTTTCTCCATTTCCTCTCCTCGTCTCATCCCTCCTCCTCCTCTCTCATCCCCATCCTACCCTGCTCTCTCTTGTATTACGTGATCGCCCTTCCTCCTGCCATGGCATGACATAACATGCCATGCCATTCCATACCATGCCATGCCATTCCATACCATGCCATGCCATTCCATACCATGCCATGCCATTCCATACCATGCCATGCCATTCCATACCATGCCATGCCATTCCATACCATGCCATGCCATTCCATACCATGCCATGCCATTCCATACCATGCCATGCCATTCCATACCATGCCATGCCATTCCATACCATGCCATGCCATTCCATACCATGCAATCCATTCCATACCATGCAATCCATTCCATACCATGCAATCCATTCCATACCATGCAATCCATTCCATACCATGCAATCCAATGCCATACCATGCAATCCATTCCATACCATGCAATCCATTCCATACCATGCAATCCATTCCATACCATGCAATCCATTCCATACCATGCAATCCAATGCCATACCATGCAATCCCATTCCATACCATGCAATCCATTCCATACCATGCAATCCCATGCCATACCATGCAATCCCATGCCATACCATGCAACCCCATGCCATACCATACAATCCCATGCCATACCATGCAACCCCATGCCATACCATGCCTTCCCTTATCACGCCACGCCGCGCCATGCGCATGCGATGCAGGGCGTCCGTGCAGGCCATTCTGTTCACCTTCTCCTCCTCCTGGCTCGCATCACAAGGCCCCTCCGACCATCAAGCACAGCGCAGGGGCGGAGGGGAGGAAGCCGGCAGCGCGGAGAGCAGTGGCAATGGCAGCGGGGACATGGGCCATGGGGGCGGGGAGGGAGGCAGCAGCAGCGGGGGAGGCAGTGGTGGGAGTGAGAGGAGCAGCAGTGACGTGGATGCGCACATGAGCCTGGAGCTGCTCCAGTGCCTGCAGGTATGCTGCTACCCCACCCCGTCCCATTGCATGCTCTGGTGTATCCTCCCTCCCCACCCAACAGCGCACTTCCTCTCCTTGCCCCAGCAGCACCCCTTATTGCCACTTTCCTTCCAACGATGACAGACAGGTGCCAACCAATGCTCCGCGCACACCCCCCAGCACCAATCTGCTCGTGCTTCTCCTTTGTTCACCTCAGTGCGGCCGCAGCCACTTCCCTGCCTTGCACTGCACACTCTCCCTCTCTCTCCTTCTCGCAACCTGCCTCCTCCTGCCCGAGCTGACTGCTTCGCACAGGGCTGGTCAAGTCAAGGCTCGCACGCCTAGATTGGCACTGCATCCCATCCCCACTCATCCCATCTCTCTCGCCTCTCTGCCCCCTTGCTCCAACCACATTCCATACTCTCCTTTCGACCAACCCCCCCTCCTCCTTTCCCTTCCCCTCCCCCCCCCCCCTCCCCCCCTTCATCCCCCCCCACGCACCCTCGTGGGGGCAGTGGGTGGAGTACTGGGTGCGGGCGGGCGTGCAGGCAGTGCTGTGGGCGGACGTGCTGTCATGGGAGCACGTGGACCCCGCCCATCCCACCAGGGACGCCCTCGCCCACATGCACGCACAGGTCAGCGCGCCTGCATGCACGCCATGGGAGAGGGGGGAAGCGGGTGGCAGATGGGGGAAATGAGTCGGAGAGGGGGTAAGGGGAGTGACACTCTCACAGTGCTGTGCTGGTGCACGCGTGTCGTGTGGCATGGGCGGATGATTAAGAATGCCCCGTGCATCTGCCTCGCCGCTGCCTGCCTGCCAGAGCCACGCACTAGATGGCAGTGCGTGCGGTGCTGTGGGTTGAGGTACTACTGCTGTTGACGGTGGAGTGGAGTCATACTGAGGGGTTTCTTGGGAGGCAATGTCAGCGTCGCCTACACTACATACACGCATGGGAACTCTCATGCTCAGATTAACCCCCCCCAGCCGCCATCACCCCTGCTGCCCCAGTTTCCCCCACGACATCCTCCCCCATCTTTCTCGACCTCCGTTCCCCCCATCAGAAGCAGGCGCTGGTGCGGGCGTACGAGGGGGAGGGGCGAGTGGCGTTTCATCGCGAGGTGATGGGCGTGGGCAGCACGAGGGCGCACGTGGTGGAGCGCGTGGTCGCCATGGCAGCTCACAAGGTGCGCTTGCTGGGCTTGCTTGGAGGGGGGGAGATGTTGAGGGAAGGTGAGAGGCGGCAGCTTGCTTACCAGTGGAAAAAGGCTCAACGGAACATGCGAAAGTGAGCAAGGGTAAGAGAAGACACAGGGGGGAGCTTTCCTGGGTGGTCCGTGGGTGATCAAGGCAAGGTGGTGAATGTGTGGTTCAATGGATTCGTGGGTGGTGGTACAATCCCTTCCTCTACTGCTGCAGTGTGTGCAGAACCCACTAGGCACAGTCCGCCTGGTGGCCATACCTCACATCGTCTCCTCTTCATCTCTCCTCACTTCTGCCCCTCCCGCCCTCCCTCCCTCCACCCACTCGTCAGACCTCCGCAGAGTGGCTGCTGATTGCTGACTCGCCACGCGCCTTCCTCTCCCCGCCCTCGCACCCTCGCGCTGGCTTCCTCTCCCGCTTCCTGGCGCAGCAATCAGAGCATGTGGTGCAGGTAGGGCCGGGCGCTGGAAAGGCAGGGAGAGAACTGGATGGCATGGCGATGGCATGGGGATGGCTTGGAGATGGGATGGAGATGGGATGGGGATGGGATGGGATGGGGATGGGATGGAGATGGGATGTGGATGGGATGGGGATGGGATGGGGATGGGATGTGGATGGGATGTGGATGGGATGGAGATGGGATGGGGATGGGATGGAGATGGGATGTGGATGGGATGGGGATGGGATGGGGATGGGATGTGGATGGGATGGGGATGGGTTGGGGATGGCATGGGGATGGGATGGGATGGGGATGGCATGGGGATGGCATGGGGATGGCATGGGGATGGCATGGGGATGGCATGGGGATGGCATGGGGATGGCATGGGGATGGCATGGGGATGGCATGGGGATGGCATGGGGATGGGCTACTTGGGCAAGTGGGAGTGTGGACAACTGGGCAGTGGGCATTGGGCGGTATAAGAAATGGGCTGGTTTACTCTTCTCAACGCAGTGTCCTCCGCCTCCCTTTCACCTTTTCCTCGATCTAAAGCACGTGCCGTTTTTCATGACAAATAATCTCCCTTTCTGTTTCCCTGCTTTCCCCTTTACCCCTCCCTTTCAACACCCCGCCTCTTCCTCCTCCCTATGTGTCCCGCACCATCCCTTCCCCAACTTCCTCAACCCTCTCGCAGATGCGCCCGTCCCTGTCATACCTCTCATCCCAACCGCTGCTCCTGCCCTTCACCTTCTCCCCCCGCTCCCTGTTCTCCCATGCTCCTGTCACCGATGCTCTTCTGGATCCCGATGAGCAAGAGCAAGGGAGCGCGGGCGATGAGAATGGAGGAGGAACGGACGTGGAGGAGGGGAGAGCAGACGGGGATGGGGGAGAGATGGACAGGATTCACTCGGAGGGGCAAGAGATGGAAGGTGGGGAATCAAGAATGGGGGAGATACGCGCAGAGGATCTTAGAAGGAACGAGGAATTACCCAGCGCTGTCACTGCTGCTGCTGCTGCGGGCGCAGGTGCTGCTAATGGTGGTGCTCCTGCTGCCGGTTCCGGCGCCAAAGCTGGCATGTCGACTGGCAAAAAAAATAACCCTCTGATGGCTGTGCAGCATTGCTTCCGCCCACTGGCCTCTCTTGCTCCCATGGGCGCCAGAGGAGTAAGGGGAGGAGGGGAAAGCTTAGATGGAGGGGTGGATGGCGGCATGGGGGAAGTAACGAGTGGGTCTGAAGAGGAGGGCCAGCCGACAGCGGTGCTGGTGATGGCAGTGCGAGCAGGTGCTGTGCGCGCATTGACACCGAAACGAGACGTGCAGCACCACCGCCGGCGCCACGATGATTATGATGATCGTGACAGTGCTGATGCTCATGCTGCTGGCGCGGCTGGTGCTGACGGTGCTGCTGCTGGGAACAGGTCTGCCCTCGCCCACCTGCTTTTCTCCTCGCCATCAGATGTAACTGGCAAGACAGCCCAGCAGCAGCAGCCAGTGCAGCAGCAGGCGGAGGCACAGCAACTGGTTGCAGTGCTGCTGTCAGCCCATAGCGCTGGCAGCAGTAGCAACAGCAGCAGCGGTGGCAGGGGCGATGGGATGAAAGCAGCAGTGGAGGCAGCAGGCGGTGCATGTTCCGATGGTTGGATGGACGGCACCCACCCAGGCGGTGGGCTCCTGGAGTTCCAGGTCACGCACCTGAGGGGGTCAAGGGAGGGCCTGCTTTGAGGTCACATGCATAAGAAGTGGGGAGCGCATGGGAAGGGGGTGCGGGTGGTGGGGGGAAAGGGAGGGAGTGTTGCACAATGCTCTTGTCATCATCTCTCGTTCTCTGGTCCTTTTGTAGCAGCATCACCACCCCTGGACAAGCATGGCAGGCGGCACAAGCGGTAGCAGTTATGGTGCATGGCGGACCAATTACCATGTGCACTGCCACATGTTGCTCCCAATACAACCAACCTCCCTTCGTGTCTTCTCACAGTCCTGTCCCCTTCATTCCTCCTATTCCTTAATCAATCCCTCTCAAACCAACCTTTCCCCCCAATCTTCTGCACCTCCCCCTCTCCTCCTTCACCTCTTCCCCCACGTTCAGAGTGTCTGTTCAAGCTGAACTCTGGGCAGTTTTCTCCAACCCTCTCACCTTTCTCTTTTCCCACCCCCCTCCATGACAATCTAACCTCTTTGCCTCTTCTTCCCCGCCTTTCCCGTTTCCTCCACCTTTCAGGCTGCAGCACGGGCAGTGTTCCCGCGGGTGCGCATGCAGGCAGCACGGGTGGCAGCAGCCGTGGTGCACGGAGCAGTGCAGCGCCTGCAGGCACTCGTGCAGCGCATGCAGCAGCAGCTCAACGACGCTGAGAGGGCTGTGGAGAAGAGGTGAGCGATGTGAAAGGGGGGGTGAGCGATGGGAAAGGGGGGGTGAGCGATGTGAAAGGGGGGGTGAGCGATGGGAAAGGGGGGGTGAGCGATGGGAAAGGGGGGGTGAGCGATGGGAAAGGGGGGGTGAGCGATGGGAAAGGGGGGGTGAGCGATGGGAAAGGGGGGGTGAGCGATGGGAAAGGGGGGGTGAGCGATGGGAAAGGGGGGGTGAGCGATGGGAAAGGGGGGGTGAGCGATGGGAAAGGGGGGGTGAGCGATGGGAAAGGGGGGGTGAGCGATGGGAAAGGGGGGGTGAGCGATGGGAAAGGGGGGGTGAGCGATGGGAAAGGGGGGGTGAGCGATGGGAAAGGGGGGGTGAGCGATGGGAAAGGGGGGGTGAGCGATGGGAAAGGGGGGGTGAGCGATGGGAAAGGGGGGGTGAGCGATGGGAAAGGGGGGGTGAGCGATGGGAAAGGGGGGGTGAGCGATGGGAAAGGGGGGGTGAGCGATGGGAAAGGGGGGGTGAGCGATGGGAAAGGGGGGGTGGGCGATGGGAAAGGGGGGGTGGGCGATGGGAAAGAGGGGGTGAGCGATGGGAAAGGGGGGGTGAGCGGTGGGAAAGGGGGGGTGAGCGATGGGAAAGGGGGGGTGAGCGATGGGAAAGGGGGGGTGAGCGGTGGGAAAGGGGGGGTGAGCGATGGGAAAGGGGGGGTGAGCGATGGGAAAGGGGGGTGAGCCAATTGAGGTTGGGCCAATTATTGGACGAGCCAAACATTGGAGGGTTTGGACACCAATGTTGGCTCCCCAACAATAATGGCCGCGTGGGTTGTGGGAACCCAACCAAAAGTTGGGAGACTTCCTCAATGTGTACACCCATGATTTGGGTGTAACACTGTGAGGTCTACCCATATGCATGCTATAATCTAACAAAGGGTGGAGGTGGTGGAGGGAGGTGATACCCATGGATGGGTCCCGCGATTACTGGCCATGTATTCGCCTTGCACTGCCGTGCTGCCATGCTACCACGTGGTCAAGCAGCTGAGCATCACCTCATCCTCAGGGGGGTATCGCTGGAGCTGGGCAATTTGCTGTGAGTCCTGGCGAAGGGGTGCTGGAGGTGCTGAGGTTGGCCATTGGGAGTGTCGGGCTGTGGCCCTGTGCCTCCTCCCATTGCTGCTCACAGGTGCGTCTGCCACTCTCAACGTCCTCCCTTTCTGGTGCACGTCCCGCACTGCTGGTTGGTGGTGTGGCTGCTACAAGTTTTGTACGCTAATCGTTTTGTTGGGTCGTTTGAGTGAGAGGGTGGTGTGATGCAGCTCTAGTGGCAGCGCATGTGGGATGGCACAAGCCAGGGGGAGCATTCCACGGCTGCAGTGCATAGTGCGTGCCGTGCACAAGGGGCTGTGCTTTGGCATGCCCCTCAGCTGAGGTTTGAAGCGTCTCAAATCTCGCCTGTAGTACACCCTCCTGCAGCTGCTGCTGGCAGGGCTGGTGGGTTGGTGGGCTGGTGGGAACTGGCAGCAGCAACTTTGGGAATATCCCGTGCAGTAGAGTGTTGTGCGGCTGACCATCTGGTGAGCGCCGCTCGGGCGGGGCATGCAGCTCGGTGCTGTTCATGTGGGAGGGCGCTTGGGCTGGCGCAATGCATGGCCTGTGTGGCAGTTAGAGAACAGTCTACTCCAGCAGGGGAGGGAAGTGGTTACGGACCTTCCTGTTGGAGTAGGCTAGTGTTCGCTCTGCTTTTTGTTTTGGCCTTACATTATTTTTCGGCCACTTTTGGACTTAGTTTCATTTCTGGTTCGTGTTAGGTTCACTTTCTCACCTAAGTCACTTTTCGGCCTCCATGGCTCTTCTAAGACTCACTTTAACACTTCCATTTTCTAGTGGCATTTGTGGACTCCTTGTGGGTTAGTGGAGGCTGGGAGTGCCTGCAGAGCAACCAACGAGCCGCTTTGACCCACAGGCATCGCGTGTCTACGTTGCTCACACGGTCCCTCCCATCTTTCTCGTCCTGACTCCACTACCGCTTTCACAACCACCCTCTTCTGCTCACCACACCCATGCATGAGTCCATGTGCAGTGTTGTGGAGCTAAGGCATTCTGTAGCCCACAGCGCATCTGTGCTGTTCCTCCCTTATGCATGTTTCCACGTGGCAGGACGAATCTATCCGCCATCTTCGCCAGTGTGTTGCAACCGTACAGCAGCGCGCCCCTGGGAGCAGCCACTGCTGACAGCACCATCTCTACCGGCAGCACCGCTAGAACTAACTCCAGCATCGATGTGCCTGCACCAGCAGCAGGTGCAGCAGGGGAAGGTGGCAGCAGTGTGATTTTCCTTGCAGCGATGGCGTATGCGAGGGTGTATCGAGAGGACCGGTTCAACTTCTCGGCGTATGAGATCTGGCAGGTGTGTTGTGCTTCACGTTGCCCTTGCCCCTTCTTGCTCTTGTGCTTGTTCTTGGTGTGTGTATATGTGCGTGCCTTTTTTTGCACTTGCTGGTTCTTGCCCTTGCTCCTCTTGCTCTTGCCCTTGCTCTGCCTTTGGCCTTGCTTTGTTCCTCTTGCACTTTCTCTTGCCCTTGTTCTTGCCCTTCTGTTTCTCTTCCCAACACACGTTCCTCTTTCCCTCATCCTGCCACTCTGTGCTGCTGCACTCCTCTGTCTACCCACCTAATCTCTGTCCCTCCCCCACCCTTTCTCTCTGCCCCTTCATTTCTCCCACGCCTCCCCCTGTGCGAGCAGTGGTTGGAGTATGGGCGGTATGCAGGGGTGCAGCATGTGTTCTGGTACGACACTGCACACTCGCAGGAAGAGAGCCAGGTGCGTGTCTCACTCGCACCATGCTTGGGCTGCGGAGTTTGACTGTAGCGGTCGGTGTGTGGGGTGGGAACGTGTGGTGGGTGTGCTGGAGTGAACTTGTGGGGATGGGTGTGCGGGGTTGGGAGCGTAGGGTGGGTGTTCGGGAATGAGAGTGCGCGGTTGGCTGCATGGGGTTGGGTGTGCGGGAATGAGTGTGGGGGTGGGTTTCTGGGGTGGGTGCACGAAGTTATATTATGCTGAAAGAGGGTCATTCCATCACTGAGAGTTGTGTGAGGAATGACCCTCTTTCAGTTCCGCCACTCATCTGGGCCCAGATGAGTGGCGGCTGAGGCACACAGACGGAGGGAGGCGACATGACAGGGAGGGAGGGAGCCATGTCACAGTTCGTGACCTTGAGGCGTCTTTGCCTCTCTCATTTTGTACGCTGTGAGTGCCATGGTGCGAATAGTGGATGGGCGAATATGGCGGAGTGGTGGTAATGAGAGATTTCTCCCAGATTTCTTTACCTTTCCCACCCACCCCTCCCTTCCTTTCCCTTTCCCTTCCATCTCCCCACTTCGCCTGCCTCTCATCTCCCCTCCCATGGCGTTCAGGAGGCAGCTCTGGCACCATACGTGGGGGCAGGTGTGGTGACATACCACCGCTTCTACCGCCTCTTCCCTGAGTGGCACGACATTCACTACGAGCAGGACTCCTCCGTCTCACACTTCCTCAAGGTGCCACACTGCTGCCCGCCTGCCTGCCTGTGACGGGCAAACGAAGGGATGGGTGGGGGCAGGTGCATCAAGGGGCTGGATGGTAGAATGTGTTTGGATGATGAGGAAATGTTGTTCTTACCATGCATCTTCCACAACCCTACTCCTCTGCCATCTTTCCTCCTTTCAAAACCGTTTCCTTCATGTGTCATGTGCCTCAGCCTCTCCTTTCTCCCTCCGCCGCGCCCCTTGGCCATCCCCTGCAGACGTACGGCCCACGGGTGCAGTGGGCGGTGCTGTGCGACATAGACGAGTACATGTTCAGCCCCTCCGACACGCTCCCTGGCTTCCTCCTGCGCTTCCTCACCCGCCACGTGCTGCCCGCCAGCAATGCCACGGCTCAGGTGCGGTTGAGAGGAATGGCCTCCTCCTCCTCCTCCTCCTCCTCCTCCTCCTCCTCCTCCTCCTCCTCCTCCTCCTCCTCCTCCTCCTCCTCCCCCTCCTCCTCCTCCTCCTCCTCCTCCTCCTCCTCCTCCTCCTCCTCCTCCTCCTCCTCCTCCTCCTCCTCCTCCTCCTCCTCCTCCTCCTCCTCATGCTTCCGTCCTCCCCATCCCCCCTTCACTCCCCGCATCTCCCCCATGCAGCCATACTCTCACCATCCCGCCATGTCAACTTCCATTTCCACCCCCCTCAGCTGTTCCCGTCTCCCTCCCTTCCCTTCCTCCTACTCGCATCTCCCCCCCCCATCAGGTACTCGTGCAGAATCTCTTTTTCCAGGGTGCGCCCTCATGCGCGCCACCGTGTCTCCTAGTGGACGCATACACGCAGAGGAGCGCACACACGGAGGGGCCAGTAGCGCGCACCAAGGCCATTGTGCGCGTGGCCCAGGTGCAAGGGAACTTTGGCGGCAACCCGCACAAGTTCTGGATGAAGGGCGAGGCTGTTGGGGGGGAGATGGGGGAGGTGGCTTTAGGTGGAAAGGCGGAGGGTGGAGGAGGAGGGGACGAGGGCGGGGAACGGGGAACGGGGGGCGGGGAGGGTAGTGGGGAGGGAGAGGGAGGTGGGGATGGGGAGCGGGGAGCAGGTGGTGTAATGGGGGGCGGGCGAGGGAGGGTGACGGTGGTTGCGGACCCGTCGTTGTTGCATATGAACCACTACTGGGGCTTGAGAGCTGTTGACTTCCACCCATGGCCAGAGCAGGACCGAGACACGCTGATTCCAGATGCGTCCATAGGGGTGAGTGTTGAATTGACAGGTGGGTGCGGTGGGTTGACGCTGCATGTGATACCTGCTCCATCTGACCAACCTTTTGTCCCTCCTCGCTTCTCCTTCCCCGGTTCTCGCCTTATCCCTTCCCCACTCCCCGTCCGGTTGCTATTTGCCACTCAGCATCTCCTATAGCCCCCTTCTTCCCCAGCCACCCACTCATCATCCACCATCGCGCTTTCCTCCCTCTGCCCACATGTGGTACATCCCCCCTGCCAGCCAATAGCGGACGCCATACGGCCCAGACTAGTGCCTGCATGGCAGTGGTGTGTTGAAGAGAAGACGCTTCAGGATATACACCTTCTTAAAACATCAATTGCAAATTCGTCGCAGCAATGCAGGATGCTACAAATGGCTATTCAATGGATGCAAGCATAATTGGATTCTGGTGTCGCTACCTGTTGTTCTGTCAGCCATGTTTTGTTGGCCAATAGGCTAAAGGATGTACGGTACTAATAATTCTCCCAAATGTACCGTAAAAGCTTTAGTTGGGAGAGGTCTGGAGGCCGCCTGCTTCGTTGTCAAGCCAAGAAAGTTAATAATTTGAAACTCAATCAGCACATACAAAGGCATCTCAGCCACATAAAAAACAAAAGCAACCTGCAAACTACCGTAAACATCTACGTAATCACCTCCAACCGCCCCCTCCCCCCCCCCCCACCAGTATGAAGAAACCTTGCAAAACCCGAACCCGTACCACCCTCTATGCCCATGGAACCAGATCCCCTACATCCCCGCTTTCATTCTTCCTTCTGGTCCTTCTTGCCCTTCTTGTACTCCCCATCCTCCCCTTCCCCCCTATCCTCCTTGCCCTTCTTCCCTTGCTTCTTCAGGCTCCTCCGCACACCAGCACCCTCATCTCCCTGCAGAGGGGAGAACAAGTCGCCCTCCACCATCATGCTGCGAGCAGCCACACCATCCGAGCCAGCCTCCTCGCCCCCACTGGGTGCAGCTATTCAGCGCCAGCGTCGGCGGGGGCCTCACCACCAGGTGCCGCCCCACCAGGTGCCGCCCCACCAGGTGCCGCCCCACCAGGTGCTGCCGCTCCTTCATTCTTGTTCCCCTTCTTGCCCTTCTTGTACTTCCTGCATTTCTTCCCCTTCTTGCACTTCTTGCCCTTCTTCTTCAGGCTCCTGCGCGTGTCCGCCACGTCAGCATCCGCTTCTGCCAGCGGAGAGAACAAGTCGTCCTCCGCCATCATGCTGCGAGCAGGCGCGCCCTCAGGGCCCGCCTCCTCACCCCCACCGGGTGCGGCTGAATCAGCGCCAGCATCGGCGGGGGGGGCATCCATGCCCTTCTTGGGTTTCTTTCCCTTCTTCCCCTTCTTGCACTTCTTCCCCTTCTTGCCCTTCTTGCATTTCTTCCCCTTCTTCTTCAGGCTCCTCCGCATATCGGCCACGTCAGCATCAGCATCGCCCTCTGCCAGCTGGGAGAGCAGGTCGATTTCTGCCATGCTGCGAGCAGGCGCGCCCTCAGGGCCAGACTCCTCGCCCCCACTGGGTGCAGCTGAACCAGCGCCGGCGTCGGCGGGGGCCTCACCACCAGGCGCCGCCCCACCAGGTGCCGCCGAGCCTGCATTCTTCTTCCCCTTCTTGCCGCCCTTGTTCCCCTTCCCGCATTTCTTCCCCTTTTTGCCCTTCTTGATTCCTCAACAGCTTCGCATCCCCTTCTCAATCACGAAGTTCTTCCTCTTGCTCCTACACACCTCCCCTCACTCTTCCTCCTCCTTGGTGCCTGCCTTGAGTACTTCACCATAGTTTCCACATCCTCAGGCCTGTCATGACCTACGAACACCCCTCGAAATCCTACGCTCCTCTTCCTTAGCCCCATTTCCCATCTTTTCCCTTTTTGCTGCCCCACTCCCATTTGCAGCCTCCTCTTTTGCACGTGGTGCAGGCAGAGAAACATGTGCATGCATGGCTAGCAGTGACGAGGGCACCTTTGGTGGGGGAGCAGACGCAGCTGCTACTGGGGCAGGGAGCAACGAGGGTGCAGATGGTGGGGCAAGAGTGGGGAGAGAAGTCGGTGCGGAGGGCTGGAGGAGTGATGGGGCCGCCATTGGCAGTGTGGCGGACGCAGCAGCTGGTGGTGCAGGGAGCGAGGAGGGTGCTGTTGGAGGGGGAAGAGGTGCAGGCGCGGGGAGAGAGGCGGGTGGCGCTGCCTGGGGGAGCGACGGTGCAGCCAGCTCCCCCGCCGTTGCCTTTACTGCCACAGGCGAAGGACCTGCGCTCTTCACCTCTTCATGTGCGGGAAGCGATGTAGGCGTGGGGAGAGAAGTGGGTGTTGCTGGTTGGGGGAGCAATGTCGGCGCTTCGGCAGGTTTTTCTACGGAATATGGGGGTTAAGTGGGGAAGGCGGTGGAGCAGCGGGGGCCGCTCAGCCTCCAGGGAGACGCAGGGCGTTTCATGGAGTCAAAAGGACCGATGGCTTGTGCACCGTAATTATGGCCGATCGAAACTGTAGAATGACTGCCCGATCCACGGCACGCGCTCCTGGTAATGGTGGTTGGTGTAACACCCAAGGCTTTTATAATAAGTGTGACAAGGCTTTTATTATAAATCCTAATACAAGTTGAAGCTGTAGCTAGCTCCCAATAGCCTTGTAGGTGTCAATCTTCTTGAAGGAGTTGATAGAATGGCTTGAGAGAGTTCTGTAGGAGAGCTTGTGAGAGAGCCAACAATGACTTAGGCAAAATATCTCATTTCCAACTGATTAGTTGGAGTGGGAGGTGAAGAATGAGCTTGCTAGCTCAAACCCCTTCAATACACCCCTTGGGGAACTCTCCCAACTATGGATTCCATGGTAGGATGGTTCCTAGGCTTGGAGCCTATGTGCCAATTAGTTGGGTTGGGAAAACTCAACCTAGAACCACTGAATGGTTGTTTTTAAGAAGAGTAGATTGTTACATTGAATTGGTAGTTTCTGATTGGTTGTAAATCCAACCTTCAATATTGCCAATCTCTATCAAGAAACATCTCGACAATTTCTTAGAAGTGGTTAGGTCGCTAGGAGTAGGGAGTTAGGCTATACGTTACAGTTGGGGAGGTTGAGAAAAGGCTCGCAAATAGTGGGGGATCAAGTGAGGGGGGAACTGATTGCTTTCGAAGCGAAACATTTGCTGCACGTCTACAAGGTTGGGAATACCGTAACAGAAATGTACTGACTCTACAATGAGGGTAGAATCTGGCAGATTGGGTCTCACCGCACTGCACCTTTCGCCAGCCTCTTAGCCTTGTTTCAGCCATGGCCAATAAGATTGCCTTCAAATGCAGAACCAAATGTCAAAGTTATATGCTATAGATCATTTAGCCTATAGTGAATTACATCTTACAGGGTACAATATTTCTCTCAAGATTCTCTTTGTACCCCCCCTTTTAACCTAATCAATCATTCCGTCCTACCAATATTGACATGGTATTAAGAGTCCAGACGTTCCTAGCCTAAGACGTTGCGAAGGGCCCACCGTTAGTTATTTCCTGCCCGTCATGCGCCCCTAGTGTCGAAGTGAAAAGCCCCGCCCTCGCTTGGGCGCAGGCGTTCTCTGCGACGCCATGGTGAATTCGACGAAAGCAGTCGTCGAATTGGCTCTCAGGTTTAGACGACCAGCGCATCCTCTGAAACAACGGGTGGATTTCGAGGAGGCTGTCTCCTGGTCGGCTAGCCCATCGACGAGCTCTGGTCGACGGGGTGCTGTTCAACGAGCTCGTCCTCTGATCTGCTAGTGAGTCGCGGGAACTCTAACGGACAGGATCCGTTTCGAGGAGCCCCGTTCTCTGATCGAAGGGCGCTGTTCGGCGAGCCTCGTCTCGGCGAACTGGTCAGCCAAATTCGCGCGGCTACGAAGCTCTGTGAAGGCATGCGAATTTCGCCAGGAGGTTTTAGCGAAATTCGACCTGCGGAATGGCATCACGTGCTCGACGGTGGACATCTGACGAAACCGTCGGAACGTTTTCTACTTGGCACCTGCGAAATGTCTCTGACGGTGCAACCGTCTACTTGCACCTCCTCGGCAGCTGTGCACCTGTGCGCAGATATTCACCTGCGAATGCAGCGCTGGCAGGCCGCCCTGCTGCAGCGCTGGCATGTCGCCCTTCTGCTACGCTGGCAGGCCGCCCTGTTTCAGCGTTGGCGAGCCGCTTTGATGCTGCGCTGGCAATTCGCCTTGCAGAATGCTTGCTAGAGATTGCAATGCCATTCTATTCATATCGCTTGCATGCCTCATTTTGTACTCTATTCTCAATGTTCCTTTCAATTTCTTAGTGGAAACTCTTGCCAAATTTCTTTGTAAATTCTAGTCATATCGCATGCATGCCTCATTTTGTACTCTATTTTCAATGTTCCTTTCAATTTCTTAGTGGAAACTCTTGCCAAATTTCTCTGTGAACACAACAAGTAGTAAGAACGCTACTAGAGCGCTACGATCACCCGCACAAACCCGTGCCCTCCTCCGTAGTCCAACCCCGTTGTAGGGTGGCTCTCCGCATGGTGCAGTGAGCGTGGACGACCCCGCGTTAGAACCTTCAGATAAGCTGACTTTTGCACTCAATACCTAAGTCGTTGTAGGCCGGCAACCGTGTAGACCGCCATGGACGACCAAGGGGTCGATGCTGGAGTAGGAGATACTTTGTAGGCGCGGTTGGATGGTGTTCGGGCACGCCATCAGGCTGGCGAGTACGGCGAGGAGGACTTGGAGATTCTTCTCCTAGGAACTCGTGCGCAGTGGGCGCGTGAGCATCCCCCTCCCCGTGCTGAAGCGGACGGCGCGTCCGCCTCTCCCTGACCCGTGTACAACGAAGGTGACAGCGACAATGTTGTCGGCAGTGGAAGCATTAGGGGTTCGCGGAGTGATTCGGGCCGCCGACATCGGCGTTGGCGGAATGCAGGCGCAATTACTGCGGTCGACGGCGGCTGCGGGCAGCTCGAACGGCAACATCAATGGTCGACGTCAACATCAGCGGAGTGGAGTCAGGCTGATTTCGGCGACTCATGCATCGGCCGGTCGAGACGGAGGCATCGCGCCGGCGTATGGCTACTTCAAATTTTCGCCGGACAAAATCACTGTGCCGAAGCCGCTCGAAAGAAGCCACGACTTAATCACATGGATAGAATCCATCGAGCCTCAGCTCGGGATCGCCAGATTGAAGAAGTTCGTCGACGGCAATGTGGAGACGCCGGACGAAGACGACTCTGAACTCTGGGCCGAATTTCGTGCTGCTCATCTTTTGACCTTCATGGTCATTTCGAGGTGCTGTTCGCCGCTGGTGCAAGTCGCATTGAAACCGTGCCGAATTCGAGTGGACGCCAGCTACCAAGCATGGCAGTACATCATGCACACCTACAAAGCGACCGACGATCTCTACATCAGCCAACTGGAGAAGAGATTGGCCAACATTCGGATGGGCAAGCGGGAATCGGCGACCGACTACTGCAATCGAGCGCGGTTAATTATGGCCGACCTGCGGATGGCCGGCTTCGAATACTCGGTGGCGTCGTATGTCACGCATGTCATCAGTGGCCTCCCCTCGGGCTACAATCTGATGCGCCGGATGCTGACGATTCTTGGCACGCGCGAGACTCTGAACGAGGACTCGCTTTCGAGCCACATCATCCAGGACGAGTTCAGGCAGGAGTCTAAGCGGTCCACGGAGCTCCTTCTACAGGCCAACTACGTCGCTCTGACAAGCAGAGACGTCAGACGAGGCAGCGTGGGAAGTCGGGCAGAGGCGGAGGCGGTGGCGGTCTGCATTGCCCGCGCGCTGCCCTGCGCCGCCTGCCAGCGCCCTGCCTGCGCTGCCTGCGCCGCCGGAACCGCCTGAGCTGCCCACCCTGCCTGCGCCGCCCGCGCTCACTGCCAAGTGCGCGCTGCCCAGCACTGCCCTGCCCTGCCTTGTCGCTGCCAGTGCTGCCCTGCCCTGCCCAGACGTTGCCAGCACTGCCCAGGATGCTGCCCAGCGCTGCCCTGCACTGCCTGACCGCCGCTAGCACTGCCCTACACGCTGCCCGCGCTGCCAGCTGCTAGCTCGCCCCGCACTGCCCTGCACGCTGCACCGCGCACGGTGTCCTGCCCTGCCATGTTGAGCCGCGGCCCGCTGCTGCCCTGCATGCACGCGCTGCCAGCACTGCCTACGCGCTGCTCTGCCGCCCTGCAGCGCCCTGCCCTACGTGCTGCCATGCGCCAGCCTTTGCTGCCCCTGCTGCCCCTGCTGCTGCTGCTGCTGCTGCTGCTGCTGCTGCTGCTGCTGCTGCTGCTGCTGCTGCTGCTGCTGCTGCTGCTACTACTGCTCCTGCCGACTGTGGCTACCATTTGTGTCCTTACCTTTGACGCGGAGGATCGCTCGATTAAGTTTGACTGCTGGCTCGAGGATCTCTAGCTGTACCTGCAGAGCATTGTCAATCTATATTTGTTATAGCTTCTATTTGTTAGTCTAGGTGTACTTTCTCTTCCCTTGGGTTAGGGTTAGGTTTCCTATATCTTGCTTGTTTGTTTTTTCCTCAATAAATTCATTATTCAGTTACCTCATTGACATGGTGTAGAGAAGTTCGATTCCCATGGACCCACCGTGTCAAACTTATATGCTGCATATTGTGTAGGCTGTAGTGGGGTAGCCCATATGGGGTACAACCCAATTAGAGTTTACTACTTGTACCCATCCTGCTGCTAGTTCATTCATTCCTGTTCGTTATTCTGACATGGTTTCAGAGCAGGTCCTAGCCTAGGACCAATTTCTTAGGGCCCACCGAGTAGCGCTACCCCACCCTGTGATCGCGTTGCCCTGCCCTGCCCTGCCCTGCGCCGCCCACTGCAGCGCGCACTGCTTTGCCTGCGCGCCGCCTACTGCAGCGCGCCCTGCTGAGTCACGCGCCGCCTGCTGCAGCGCGCCCTGCCCTGCCCGCGCGTCGCGTTGCCGCGTCGCCCTGCCCGCGCGTCGCGTCGCGCGCCCTGCCCTGCCCGCGCGCCGCGCCGCCGCGCGCCCTCCCCTACCTGCGCGCCGCGCCGTCGCGTGCCCTGCCCTGCCTGCGCGCCCTGCCGCGCGCCTCTACCCTGCCCGCATGCCGCCGCCGCGCGCCTTGCCCTGCCCGCGCGCCGCGCTGCCGCGCGCCCTGCCCTGCCCGCGCGCCGCGCTGCCGCGCGCCCTGCCCTGCCCGCGCGCCGCGCTGCCGCGCGCCCTGCCCTGCCCGCGCGCCGCGCTGCCACACGCCCTGCCCTACCCGCGCGCCGCGCCGTCGCGCGCCCTGCCCTGCCCGCGTGCCTTGCCGCACGCCTCTGCCCTGCCAGCGCGCCTCGCCGCCGCGTGCCCCTGCCCTGCCCGCGCGCCGCGCCGCGCGCCCTGCCCTACCCGCGCGCCGCGCCGCCGCGCGCCCTGCCTTGCCCGTTTGCCCTGCCTGAGCGCCGCGCCCTGCCCTGCCGCGCGCCTTGACCTGCCGTGCGCTCCTTGCCCTACCACGCGCCGCTCACTCCTGCACTGCTGCTAGCGCGCTCACCTGCCTAGCCCTGCGTGCGTGCGCCTCGACTGCTAGCGCGCCCGACTGCTCTGCCCGCTATGGCCACTCTCAACGTTCTCACCTTCGATTCGGAGGGCCGCCCGATAGAGTTCAATGCGTGGCTAGACGACTTACATCTGTTCCTACTGACAGACTCTAAGGACGGTATTTCGCCGTTTGACCTCACTTCTCGCGCCTCGCCTGCCCCTGACGCCACAGCCGACAGTGCGACTCGCTCACAGTGGCTTACCCGTGACGCTGCTGCTCGCCTAGCCGTTCGTAACCACCTGCCGTTAGCCGAACGCGCCCACTTTGGCCAGCATAAGATAGCTAAAGCACTGTACGACACTGTTGTCGCTCGTTACTCCTTCCCGGCCTCTGTTGCTCTAGGCCGCCTTCTCCTGCCCTACCTGTCCCAGAGTTGTCCGCCTTTGCCAAAGTAGCAGACCTAGTCACTCACCTCCGCACTAGTGACACTCGCTACCGTGCTGCGCTCCCCGCCGAGTTTCTCGCCAAGAACCCTCCCCCCATGTACATCACACTCTACTTCATAGTCACCTGCCTCCCTGACTCTCTTACCGCAGTCAGGGACCTCCTTCTCGCACTTGCCCCCACCGACCTCACTGTCGACCTCCTCGAGAAGCACCTCCTAGCGGCTGAGACTAAAATAGTCGCTGTAGGCGCTTCTCGTGGCACTCCTCGCACCCCCTTCTTTGAGGGGTGTTCGCCCTCCCCCATTCTCCCCTCAGTCGCCTCTGCAGCA